CTAAAGCGACTAGCGTATCATTATTTTGGGTAAGGCCATGAAATTTGCTAAACGGCCGATCCCAAAGTCTATACAATTATTAACCAATTATTGAGGGCCCCGCAACTTGTGCGTTTTATTGGGCGATGTTCACCTCGTTTATTTTAAAAGGATAATCCTAAAGTGCCTACATTTTTTCTATTAAATTTGTCTCTAAAAATGAAAGAGAAGGTCCTAATTTATTTACATGCTTACGAGTTGTTATAGTGGGGTTCCGAACGCAATTTGTTAAATCAGAATGTAAACACAATATGGACAGCCCGTTGGCCAACGTGGGCCCAGGTTCACCGCATGTAGTATTAAACGTGACTTGGGTCGTCTTATTCCAATATTGGGCCTTAGTTTATTATTTCTACACATGTTCACAATTTTTGCACTTACAGAGATATAAGATGATAGTATCTAACTAAGCAAGTTACATGCAAGTTTTAGAAAGAGCAATTAATTGGAATGAAGTAACTTAAAAGTATAGTTTTAATCCTAAATTCAAACAATTGATTGTTGGAGCTAGATTGCCATGATATTAAAACAGTCTACTGGCCTGATTTTATTTAACATGCATTTGAACCTATACTACCTAATAACCAAACTAAAACAACGGGACATTATTGACTACATTATTATAACACTGTCCAGTTATACAGAGATGGCAGAAATTTTTTTACAAAAAAAACAGTAGTGTATAGAATGTCCTAAGTACAATCAGTAACAAAACTAAATCAAATTAAAACTTCAACTCTTTATTTGTATTCATGCTTTATGTTCCAGCTTACAATAACCAGTGTATTAGTTGTGTACCTGATATTGGAAGCAAAAGAAGAGGAAGATCAGTAGAAATACAGTAGCATACAACAACAGCAACAACAACAGTAACGGAAACAAAACAGCCCAGTAACAGTGTTTAATGAAACCAGCAGAATTCCAGCAACACCCCAATGAAACAATAACAAATAACCAACCAAACTCAAGGAACAAACCAAACGAAAGTCCAGAAATACCAACAGCAATCAACGTGCAGAAACAAAGTGAACCCTTTTTTTAGGTTGAAAGACCAGTTAATGTTTAACCCTTAAATTCTGACTCTGTATATCCAGTGTATTCAGAGTGTATATCGGGTGTATACTACTCTCTCTTTAGATTTCCAGAATGTTTTTTCTGTTCCGAAAAATCCTCAATTCTCTATTAATGTTCAGAAAATCCCCCCTAACTTGTGTCAAGCTCTTCTTTTTTATAGCCAAACTTGAAGCACTTAAATTAAATCTCACCATCTTCCCCTCATCCCCCTTTTGAATCCCACTACTTAATGTTTTGTCCCCCATTTTTATTAAACAAATGTATTATTCCCCACTAACATATGTCTTGTCCCCCACTATATTATTTTAATACCTTATTTTAATATTATTAGTGCTTAGTGGACAGAGCACTCAAAATAAATAATTGTTCAAATTTTCAATTCCAAAAATACCCCTCTGAAATTACCATTCTACCCCCATCAGATATAACTAATTCACCAAATCAATTAACCAAAAATACAGCAGCTATAACCAATTCCTAATCAAATTTCATCAACAAATTTAAGCTAGAAACTCAGATTATGTCAAATATCATCAAAATAAAGACTAAGGATTCAGGGAACCAAACCATATGATGAACAATAAAGAAACAACTGAAATCATTTTGACTGAACAACAATTTTAACAACAAACATACTTTCAGATTCAACAACAGTAACAAATTGAACATAACAAACAAGTAGATTTAAATCACTAAACTCAATAATCAATTGAACTTCAAATTAAATCTAACAACATTACAACCAAGATAAAGGATTTAAGTGATTAAACTAACACACTTCTATATTAAAACTAAACAAGAACAAATGAATAAAAACAAACTGAAGAAATAATCAAGAAATGATAAACAACGAACAAGAAAAGAATCAAACATATACTGATTTCAGATCCGAGAATATCAAACAAAATACGGACAGAAATGAAACTTAAACCAGCTAACCGGATCGGAACAACGACGAACTCGAACGGAAACAAATCTACCCGGAAACTTTGAAACCAAAATAACTCGAATCTGCCCGGAAATTTTTTGTATATTTCCGGTTGATTTCAGGCGATGAAGTTGGACGATGAAGATGACCACGAACACCACTGAAAATGACCGAACGGTCAGTCGTTTCCGGCGTGGCTGGGCGACGGATGATTGAGCTGGGTTGCTCGACGAGCAGGAACGCAACAGTGGCGGTGCTGGGCAGTCCGTAGGGGGTCATGCGAAGATGGAGATCGCGACTGGATGAAGGAGAAGGCAGCCATGGACATGGAAGCTGGAGCTGGAGATCGACGAACGTGAGGGCTGCTAGTTTGGTGATGGTTTTTCCGGTGATTGGAGGGCTGCTAGCTGGAGATCGACGGACGTGCTCACAGCTCACAGGATCGATGGCTTCAGGTGTTGGTCGCCGGACTGATGAAGAAAAAGACACAGCAGCTGTGGTTGCTTGGTTGTTGCTGTACGTCGAAGCAGCAGCGTGAGAGAGGGTCGAAGAATATGCAGAAGGGCAGCCATGGGAGGTGAGGTCGTTTATGGTAGTTCGTCGTGGGCTGGTGTTGAAGACGAAGCAGAAGAAGCAGCAGCCATAGGAGCTTGTGATGGAGGACGATGGGGAGGCTGTTAGACGTAAAGGGGAAGGGGCAGCCATGGGAGTTTGGGACGAGGGGGATGGGGTGTTGCGAAGAAGACAATGCAGCAGGGGGCGGGTGGCTTTTTTTAGGGTTTTGGGGTTNTTAAATTAAAAGGTGGCCCAATCCGATTTTCTTCTTATTTTATTACTTTTTTTTTCTTCTTTTATTTTTTCTTAAACTAAAACTAAATTCTAAATTATCCTATAGAACTAAATTAATTTATAAAAGTGCAAATTAACTCTCAATAACAACTAACACACAATTAAATAGCAATTACGATAAAATCACACAATTTGGACATTAAATGCTAAAAATGCAACGTACATTATTTTTATGATTTTTTGTTCTTGTAAAACAAACTTAATTGCTCCTAATTGTAGAATTAAATCCTAAATGCAAATGCGACATATTTTTGTATTTTTTTATTAATTTAACAAATAAACATGCACGGACAAATACAAATAATTATCCAAAAATACCACGAAATTCTCAAAATTGCACACAAAAGGAAAATTGTTTTATTTTGAATTTTTGGGAATATTTCTCACATAGGGCAAAAATCACGTGCTTACATCGCGAGCGTTGTAAAGGAGTTGATCCTGAAACTCATTCATCTGTTTCTCCATTCGGGCCATTAGATCACAGTAGCGCTTCCTATCTGCTCTGGCATCTCGGGCTTGTCTGAAGATCCGCTCTTTGAGAGTGGATATTTTTTCTCTCATTATAGCGATGTTCCTTTCGTGGTCCCTCTTCATTTGTTGCATAGACCGTGCTCGCTCTTCTGCCTTCTTTATCCGTTTCACCTTGATTCTTGCTAGACCAGCTTTAGATTTTTCCAGGTCTTCTTGATACTCGAGGACTTTCTTCTTCAGACCGTTTATGAGCCTTTCATCAGCCCGGCTTCTCTTTGGGTTTCTGGTAGCTATTTTCATTTCTTGGATTTGAGCTTTGAGGACCTCGTTTTCCCGAGCTAGTTTTCTCTTTTCTCCCTCATCTACAACGATATGCAAATCTTTCTTAAATTTCAAATCTATAACTTGCTTCTCCAACTTGCCTATTATAACCCTGTACTCGTGCTCTTTAGCCAACCAATCCCATTGTTCTTGCGACGCCTTGACGAATTCCTAGAGATGGGGTCTTTTAGCCGGCCTTTCATGCTCAAGTTCTCTCATGTACCAAGCAAGGTATCCTGGCGCCACTTCGCCTTTGGCCTGATCCTGCACGCAAGTATCTGCTTTTAAATATTGTCATTCACTCCAGATCTGACGGACTCTTGCTTCAGGGAATGGTCTGTCAGGGCTGATCTCAATTACTTGAGCACTAAGATCTTTCTCATGTGGCACCTTTTGGCATCTCTCGAGTTGTCTCAAAACCCGATATGGCGCATAAGGCTGAATTCTCTTAAGCCCCATCAATAGAAAGTAGGTCCTAGCTGCCGGCATATGGATGACCTCGTCAACGGGAAACCATCCTAGTGTCCATTGTATTTGGCTGGCGGTGAGGGTCCGAAAGAATGATGTCCACGCCGTAACCCCCTCGGGTAGACTGACCCCCTTGATTCTTGTGTTGAACTCTTCTATGCAAGTTTTCTTCGAGGAACCATAACTCAAAAGCTGGGAACGGTGGCAGAGATGCTCAGTCATCCATATTTGTAGCAACAAGTTACACCCCTCGAAAAAGTTCCCTCTGGCTTTGCAGGCTGTGAGAGCTCGGAAGATATCAGATACTATCATAGGCGCAAGAGTGCTTTCATCTTGAATGAGCAAGGTACTAACGACCCCGACTATTTTCAGATCAATGTTTCCTTCTTTCCTTGGAAATACCAAAAGGCCCAAAAAGGTTATCATAAAAGCCACTCGTCTATGCTCGTCCCATTTCTGACGGTTACTTTTGCTGCACAACTTGTTACCCGAGTTGTTGAATCCTCCGACATGACCATATCTGTCGTATATGAAGCGCGGATTGCAAAAACCTGCGGCCAAATCTGGGTTATGAACCGTCCTAGGTATCTTTAACGAATCTAAAAATTGATGCACAGTGACAGCTCTTGGAGCAACCAGGTATTTTTGCCTCAACGGAACTTCAGCATTTCCTATGTACCCGACTATTTCCTCCAAAGTAGGGGTGAGTTCAAAATCGGAGAAGTGGAAGACATTATGTGTCGGGTCCCAGCAGGTGACCAAAGCTCTTATGATATCC